AAGAACTTTGATCAGATTAAGAGAGTATCATCAATCAGTACCGTTATTAAGGTCCAAAGAGAGATTCCTCAGTGAGAAGAGAAGCTGGAAGGCTCGAACAACAAGCCCGTCATCAGGATTCTGCAATTACAATGATCACGAAAGGCTAAAGTATAGCATCATGAAAGTGAAGGTTTTTCCTCCATGAAAGCTACACATTAAGAGAGCCAGAGAAGAGGAGAAATTTGTTTGACCTTCAGTCGCAAGGAAAGAAGCACCAAACTGAAAGAATGAGCAATAGCTTCAATGTTTGAAGGTAATATATCGGGAAGAGTCGATTGTGTCCAAAACGCAGACAACAATTGCCCGATTTGATCTTCGGTAAACTTCATCATTGCTGGTAACTGCATCACCAGATAGTATCAGACGATTGCTTAAACATGTGACATAACATCAAACTGTAAGCAAAGAAAAATGTTACCATATCAGCTAGATTGATAAACCCAGCAGTTTTATCAATTATGGAATTCAACTTGTGAAAGTTTGGGGAAGATTTGTAGTTCTTAAGATCATCGTGAGCATTATTATAACCGTTCTTCTCAATCTTGACACCATCCTTCTCCTTTCTGAGCTTGTCTAATCGAGCAGCGATAGATGTGAACGCAGAGGTTGTATCGCTCCTCAGATTCCTGGATTCATTAAGATAACCAGAAGCTCTCACTGATGCAAGTCCAGCCTGAGATTGACCAGAACTTGGCAAGAGAATTACAGAGAATAAATCATGCGCTCCAACACGTGTTTCCACATTTGGATGCAGCATTGCTTTTAGAAGCGCATCAAGAAGTGTGTCTGGGAAAATCTGTATGAAAATAAAAAGTATTAAATGAACTGTAACGATATTGGTACACATTGAGAGGAACCACAAAGTTATAGTTCACCTGTTGTGAACGCATAGATGGCGATAATGATGAAGACATTGCATGAGCGAGAATCAACAGTGATCCAACCGCTGCACGTGAAACAACTCCTGAAGAAGGGAGACCCTCGACTGAAACAGCCATCATATCGAACAATGGCTGTGTGTTTCCAATTCCTTTGGCTATCTCCCGAAGACAATCTTCAATAGAGTTTTGAAGCATCACGTTCAAGTTAAGTTCCTCATCTCCAATTGATCTAGCTGTCGCTTGAAAGCTTTTCCTCAGATGCCGACACAAGTCATTAACAAAACTTATGTCCCTAAGATATGAGCTGGTCCTGATCAACTTTGCTAGACAACCAGCAACTTGTACGATATAGGCCTTAAGTTCAGGATCGTTGGCAACATGCTTACTGTCAAGATGGCGTACAACAGTCGATAACACCAACTGCTGACTCCCTAATACATAAAGAAACAGAACTGTTAGTACACATACATGTCTAGACAACAACCTATGTTCTAACAGAAAAGACGAGAGAAAGGAAGAAGATACCAGAGGTTTCCATCAAGTATGTTGCATCAGACAGAACTATCATGGCCAGCCCGTTTGGGGGAGTCCATTGGCGTCTAGAATTAAAATAGCTGAACATAGGTTCCAAGATTTGCCGCAGAGTTGTGCTTTCTTTAGCCAAATCAACCATCCTCTGGAGACAAATCTGTGCCCAAACTTTGGGCATCTCAGTCTCATCTCTAAATCAATAGAAAAATCAAGAGAATGAGAGACCTGACAAACAGAAAAAAGAATGACAGAAAAGATTAGAGGATAAAGTCAGTCACTTGGTCAACAGAGTCGGATCTTTTCTTGCAGTTCTCGGTCTGATAATCATGTAGCTAGGACTATTACAACCGCTGACTGCTGTTCCTCGGCCTTCACATCTGATCACTTCATTTACCCAGTTACAGTTTTGCTCTTCTCTGTCTTCATTGGTCTGAACGATCATGTCTGCCTCGTAATTATCAAGAATGGCGTGTACAATCTCATCAACAGCAGCAAAGATATGCGAAAACTCTCCCATAAACCATACCTGACGTAGTAACAAACATGAGAAACACTGATTAAAACCGGACAGAAACTTTTGGGGAGTGAGAAAGACTGAATGTAGAAGATAAAGAACCAGTTTTAGTACCATCGCTGAAAGGCATTGGAGGCCAGATGCTCTCAGACACCGCTTTTGAGGTTCATCACCTTCTTCACGAGCCAATGAGCATACTTTGTGTGCAAACTTTTCAATGCTGTGCGTGTAAGTTCCATCAACCTGCTCACACCAAATAAAGAGTGAGATATTTCACATTTTTTAAAATGGACTAGCATATATGTGTAGAAGCCATTAACTTTATCAGTTATTAAACTGTTAAAGTCTCCAAATTAAGGTTTGCATACAAAGGGATAAAACATAGATAATTAGATACTAAAACACGAAACTTTCTTCAACAACATTTTACCTGACTGTAAATGAACCTCGTCAACGTTTGGCATCCAAGAATGGTCGGTGTGTCCTGCTTTGAGTTGTCAAGTAGTTCTGTAACCACATTCAGCAAACTTGTAGCGAAATACGCCCTTAAATAAGAGAGGAAAAAAAACACACAAGTGTTAGTGAAAAGTTAAGAATGATCAAAAGAAGGCTGCAATAGATGTTGCTATGACATAGAAATTTTACATCTGATCCTTGCAATGGCAGAGCATTTTGTTGTAAGCCTCGGTGACAATATTAATGAACTTCATCTGTTCAGATCGAAGATCCTTGTAACACCTCTCTTCAAGAAACTTAGCAATCTGTGACAGCCACAAAACACAATCTGCTCAACTTACACACAAGACACCTACCCACCAATAAAGTAGTAAAGACAAAAACTATACCTTGGGGATACGGATTGGGTTTTTCGCAGCATACTCACACAATTTAACAATCTTTCTCTCATTTGGCGCACCATCCTACAGAAAAAAAAAACCATTAAAGTAAATTGAAAATAGAGCTAGACATGAATTTACATTGAAAGTATGCCCAGAAGCAAAGATTACACCAAGCAATTTACAAATGAAAAGTGGAAACTTTAACTAACTAGCTTCAAGGAAACACTTACAGGGGACTTGGGGAAGATCTCGCCGAGCAATTTCTTGTAACGCTTGACGGGCTGTCGAGATCTCGACCTGAGAGCAGGACAGCAAACGCACATACTCTCGCAAGCTGGAAAAATATTCCTCGAGATAAACCCCATTTTCTTCTGCAAACACTCAGAAGAAGAGAAAGTGGTGTTAGTACATTACAAGAACAGGACAAAAGCTTCAATCTTTTTGAAAACCTTAAGAGGACACAAAGTTGCTAAACTAAGCCAAACCAGAACTGCTAAGGAAAAAAAGAAAAAGCTTAGTCAGAATTTTTTAAAAATCATACTTTCTGGACTCATAAACTAGAAAGCAGACCTCATTCAGAAACCCATTACTTTGGAAATTCAAAATTCAAAATTCAAAAGATGAATTGTCGAGGTTCAAACATCAAAACCTAGGGAATGTGAAGATAATAGAAGGCAAGAACAAAACAGGGTATGAATCAGAGACGGATATTACGTCTGGAGACGGAGGAACAAGATCAAACACAAATGTGCATACCGATATTAGAAAAAAACAAACCCTAACCAAATTTCAGCTAATTTCCGAAGGATACCGAGTAAGCAGAACAAGAAAATCTCGAGAAATCACGAAAGAAACCAAAAAGATAAGAGATTTGAAGACGCATACAGAGCTCTCGGGGACGGATCTGGAGAGAGGCGAAGTGAAACTGGGAAACTGCTTTGATTAATCTAGAGAGAGAGAGAGGAAAAAGGCGCGTGGATTTGGATACAAACTACAATTAGAGGGAGTGAGAGAGGAGAAAGAGAGAGAGCACGTGAGATGTCACAGATTTTAATGTTTTTTCTTTTTCACTAGAAAAAAGCAGAACTAGTCCTGTCTTGTGTCAGAAGCTCCATTGATTTGTTTTTGTTGACATTTGACAACCAAAAATTCGAACAATTTAGGTTTTTTCGAATATATTTTTTTTTCTGGAAAAATATTTTTCGGAAATTTGCTCCACAATTATTCAATTCTCACAGAACCGTCAAATAATTGTAACTTCATTCAAATGCCCCCCCCCCCCTTGACGTGTCTCGTTACTAGACTTGAGTTCATTTTGTTGGTATTACAGTGAATATTAGTAATAGATTGATCGGGGAAGTCCTAGTTTACTCTATGATGTGATATCAAAAGAAAACATATGTTTGCATGTTCAATATCAAACGGATCATACAAACTGTGGAGTACTCTTAGTTGGTTGATGGCAATAGTTGAGAAGGAGGTATTTTATGTAAATTCAGTTTAAACAATTAACATGGTAAATGGTTGTCAACAAAAAAATTAACATGGTAATTAGCTAACGTTTTTTTATTTTGTGTTGTTTAATTTTATGGTAAATTGGCATCGACCTCTCCTTTGATGAATCGATACTAGATGCAAGTGATACAGTAGAGAAGAAAACCTAAACAACAACAAAAATCTAGGAATTTTAGCAAAAAATCAAAAACAAAACAAAAGTTTAGGAAATCAAAAAAAATTAATGTAGTAAAAAGCAAAGAAGATGTGCTACCTTTTTTTAAAAAACTGTACTCTACAGTACAGCCCCTTTAAAACTCATAGATTAATGGCGGGAGAAAATAAGCTCGGAACCGGTTAGCAAAAAAAAAAAAAACGTTGAAAGCAATGATTGGGTATATCAATTTGTGTTGTAGAGTCTCTTTTTGGATAATGGATATGTGCAGCTTCTACAGCTCTCACCAATCAAAGCTCTTCATTATTATTGCTGGAAGATATCATCAACGCGGCTAGATTAATATGAAAAAAATGGAAATATTGAATCGGATCATTTAATGAACAGATCATATGCTCCCAAAAAAGGAAATTAAAACCACACTCCAATTTCTATATATACAACCCTAGACCTTCTTCGTGTTTATTATTCACTATTTTACTTGCGCGCTAATTCATCCCCACCAATTCTCTTGTTCTTCGACAATGGATTCTTCTTCTTCGACAAAGTCTAAAACCAAATTGTCTGAGAGATATCAAACCAGTTTCAAGAAAGCATCCTTCTCTTCCACTATTCCAGCTTCAAAAAAGAACATGAATATTTCTATGAGAGAACAGACAATGCTCAACAAAGCCTACGAGCTCTCGACTCTATGCGACATCCAAGCCTGCGTCATCTATTACGGTCGCGACGGAGAACTCATCAAGACATGGCCCGAGGATCAATCCAAGGTCAGAGCCATGGCCGAGAAGTTTCACAAACTAAGCCACAATGAAAAACGCAAGAAAAGCACCAACCTTTCTCAATTTCTCAACAAGAAGCTCAACGACGAGAAGAAGAGATCTCTCGATCAAAACGACAACAAATTCTCAGATAAAGTCTTAGCGATTGAGCATTCGTTGGAGACTCGTTTACGGATATTCCAAGACAAGCTTCGGCTTCTTCAGACCAAGCCAAACCAAAGCCTTGCGGTTTTATCCGATTGTGGTTCATCCTCAAGTACCGTGCAAAATCACAACTTTATGGATTCTTCTGTCTTCTTCTCATCGGATATATCTCCTAATCCACTTCTCATCAATGAACCACCTATGATGAATTTATCAACTCCACTGATTAACGATCAGAGCCTTGCGGCTAATTCATCCGGCTTCACAACACATTTATCTCCGTCGCTAATTGAAGATCCTCATCATCAATCATTAACAACGAATCATCAGAGCAGGTTTTCAACCTTTCTCTATAACCATGACAACAACAGCTTCTACCAACTCGGTGACTCTGTTTCAAGGTTTGACCAAGCGACGGCTCCTCTGAGTATGGATTTACTTGGGCCACAAGGATTTAATAGCAACAACATGGTGATTCCTCCTCAGATGCAGACACTAAACCCACTTTTCCACTACGATCAGTTCGGAGGGTGGAATCAAACACCATCTTTTGGAGTCCAATGATGTTATCTTGTTATCTTTTAGGTCTGCTGTTCTGATTAGGGTCTGCATTCTATTTGTTAGTCTATCTGCCATTGTTCTTCTGGAACCTGGACTTTGTAATTTTTCTGTTTCCCTCAGCTAAAATGCTAAATCTCCAAGTTTCTAAACACTTTAATAAATGCTTCTCTTACCTTTTTTTTCCATATTCCTTAGACTTGTCAGATTGTGGGGATAAGATAACGAAATAAAATTGGTCAAAGAAATCAGAATGACGAAACTTTAATAAATGGTTCAATGATAACAATAAGTAAATAACTTAAATCAGGGCTGGACTATAATTATGCCAAAAGAAGTAAAAACAGTTTGTATCAGAGCAAAATCAAACATGAATTTTACGAGTTGGATCTCATTGATATTCGGCAGTCTTGGTCTTGAATTCCTCCAGCAAATCCTCGATGCTCTTCACTGAGTGGGCCGCACTGTCTCTCAGCCGAACACTCACCTGAAAACGTTGAGTCCAACAAAACAAATGGTCTTGAAATGTTCAGACAAAACAAATTAATTAAGCACACTAGAGACTCGAAATAAGGAATATGCCAATCACTAACCTGTCCTGTCTTAGCCTCAGTTTCACCCACTACCAGTATGTAGTTGTACTGAGCAAGCTGAGCTTCTCGCACCTACACACACCACAAACGTCACTCAACTCAATATTAGGAATCACCAGCCAACCACAGAACGCAACTTGATCATGAACCCCAAAAACTGTTACCTTTTTATCGATTTTTCTGTCTGTTATGTCCGCATCAACATAGTACCCAGCCTCGTGAATTTTTTTCTCCACCTGTTACAATGTATGCGATATAAGAAAAGCAAATAAGTTGATAAGAATACAGTTGCTCAATAAAGAGTGCAGCCACGAATGTAACCTCTAGAGCATATTCCTCAGATTTCTTTGATATAGGGCAAACTATGGCCTGGCGCGGACTAAGCCAGAAGGGCCATTTTCCTTTGTAATGCTCCAACAATATGGCAAACATACGTTCCACCGATCCCAACACAGCTCTATGTATCATTACAGGTCTCTGCCTCTTCGCTTCGTCGTCAGCTGAGTATTCCAATTTGAAGCGATCCGGAAGTTGAAAATCAAGCTGATATGAGGCGACAAGAAATATACAATTAACTCCTGCTTTGACTTTAGGAAGCGAAAACAAGGAAAACTAAAAGAGTTTGGGACCATAACCTGTAAAGTAGCACACTGAAATTTCCTATTCATTGCATCAGAAACTGTGATGTCTATTTTTGGGCCATAAAATGCCCCATCTCCTTCGTTCAACTGCCATTTTTTTCCAAAAGCATCCAGGGCTACTTTGAGATCTTTTTCAGCTTTATCCCATGTTTCCAGATCTCCAAGGTACTTTTCTGGCCTCTGAAATTTTTTTAATTAACATGAAAATAATGAGCCATCGGGCCATATCACGCAAAGTCTAAAATTTGATAGATACAGTGAAGAAGACTTCAGATATAGTACCGTTGAAAGCTTTAGCTCATAGGTAAACCCAAAAATTTTGTACGCATAGTCAATGAACTCCAACACAGCCTTCACTTCATCTGTAACCTGCAAACAGATAACATTAACCAAAAAAAAAAAAAGTGGGACGAAAAGGAGCTCCATCATTGTCAGACATGAGTATATCACAAACCTGATCCTCTGTACAGAATATGTGTGCATCATCCTGAAATAAGTATGCGATCATTATATGCAACATGACACGGGAAAAAGTAATACATAAAAAAAAGTAAACAATGATATAAAATGTACCTGCTGGAACCGTCGGACACGAGTCAACCCACTAAGTGCTCCACTTGCCTCATTGCGGTGTAACACTCCAAAGTCAGCCAGTCTAATAGGTAACTCTACAGACCATATAAGCCGTAAAAACATGGTATCAGCAACGATAAACATTATCCATATTGTCCTTGACGATAGGTTACAAAGAACAAATTAAACTTTGGAGCAAAGTTTCCTGTCACAGAAAAAATCAACACCGAGTAATCCACTAGAGAGTTTAGATACTCTGTTATCTAGTGAACTTTTATTTCTTCTACTAATATCATTCCTAGATCTGTTTTTGATGATATGAAACAGCACTACAAGAACAGAGTCGCACCTCGATATGAACGAACCCTGTGTTGGAACATCAAGCAGTGACCAGGGCAATTCATAGGTTTGAGCCCGAACTCTTGCTTCTCAATCTGCATAAGGAACATTCGCAAAAGTTATTCACACGTAGTATAAGCCAAACATTGGCTTCTAGGGAGAAGCTTGCTAGAGTAGCGGAGTCAAGGGGAGACTTAAGCTTTCCAGGTACTCTTACATCAAACGTAAACATATTCTCCTTGTAATTTGCAGCATGTCCAGAAGTTTCCCACAGATTCATGTTGTACATATTTGGTGAAATGACCTGCCAGTGCAAGGTTAACTTAGTCATCCCCACTCATCAAGCAGATTAAATATCCGATGAGAGATTAGAATAACCTCTGTGTAACCCCTTTTCCAATATTGTTCCTTGATGAATTCCATCAACTTGTTGTATACACGAGTGCCGAGTGGAAGGAAGAACCAACTCCCAGGGCTGAAGCTCAAGGGTGATGAGTACATAGATATTAGTATAGTGAAACACAAAGAGGAAAACACTCTTTATTTTTTCGAACCTGAGTGGATGACAGAAGAAAAGTTCCTGCTTTTGGCCCAGTAGTCTGTGGTCATATTTTTTCGCTTCTTCTAGAAATTGAAGATATTTCTGCAACGAGCAAGAGAAAGTTGATAGATATCATGCATACGCAAGACGCTGCATAGCTGTCACAATATTTTAAGAAGTATAAGTACCTTTAGCTGCTTCGTATCCGGATATGATATCCCATAAACTCTCTGCAAGCTCTCACGCTCTTTGTTACCCCTCCAGTAAGCTGATGAGGCCTAAGAAACATATAATGGTCAGCATAGGAAAAAAACCTAGAATCTGCGGAGATGTAGCTCCTAAATATAGAGTAGCAATTTACCCTCAAACACTTGAATGCTTTCACAAATGAAGTGTTTGGTATGTGCGGTCCACGACACAAATCAACCAGAGGACCACATCTGTAGACAGTTATGGTCGTGTCCGCTGCCAATTCATTGATGAGTTCAACCTAGATAATTAACAGCAGAAGATGAGTCCAAACAACAAATTCAAAGGGGACATATATGAATGTGGGGTAAGGCCGTTAGGGGGAGCATTACAAATCCAAAGATACTATAATAAACACCATAACCCACCTTAAATTTATTATCAGAAAACATCTCAAGCGCCTGATCCTTCGTCACTTCAATCCTTTCAAATGGTTGCGCTTCCTGAGATGTAAATAGAAGAGAATCAGAGAAATAGAAAGTATGACTAAAAGCTGGGTGACATATTTCATTCAATTATCACTTGAAAGGTTTAAGAAAAGAAGCAAATAGTTACAGTTTGTATTGTAAGAAAGCTCCAAATAATCGAATAATATATCACCCAAAAGACGAAACAATACCTTAGCAGCTTTTCCAGCACCTGCTTCGATTTTAGGAAAGTGATTGTCGTTCAGGCCTAAGTCACCATAAAATGCATCGTAGTAGAAACCCTGCAATAACAACCCACTACAAACATCAGCTGTAGCCACCTTTGTACAGCATCACAGTGAAATACCAAGAACCAGAATAATTGTCTCCTCCTTTCTTTTTCTACTCTTATAGCCAATGAAACATTACACAAAATAAAAAACAGAAACTGATCGAGGACATGGTATACAAAGAGCAGACACTTTATTATGTTGAAATGGAGTAACAATTAGCACAAAACAAGCTGCTCTTACCTCCCCTCTCGTTGTACATGGTCCTATGCATAGCTGGCACCCATATTCCTGCTCGAGAGCCTGCACCACCAAGATCATATCCAAAGTAAACGAATCATTCAATATTTTAGCAAATTAGATAAGATTCAACTAAACACTCTTTACCTGACCAAGAATGTGTGCACTAGAATGCCAGAGAGTATCCCGGCCTTTGTCGCTATCAAATTTGAAAAGCTCAAGCTTACAATCACCTTCCAATGGCCTACTCATGTCCCAGAGCACATCATTGACCGCTGAAATTAGCGCCGAATTTGCCAGACCCTTTGAAATCTGCTCAGCGATATCCATTGGAGTGGTTTCCCATTTCTTCCCTTCCTTCACGTTCCCATCTGGCAACGTAATCCTAAATACACACCACAATAAAACCTTTTTAAGAATTGAAACCTTAGCTAAGCAAAACACTCTGATACATATAAACATCCACATCGTACTTGATCGGATCGTGCGGCAGCGACTTAAGCTTCTCGAGCTGATTAGCTTGGATCTGCTCGAAGAGCGTGATACGCTTGGGGATGACAGTGGCAAGATACGCCTCATCCTTTGGATGGTTAGCTGCCATTGATGGAACAGTGCAAAACGACGACGAAGTCGCAAAGCGAAACGGTAGAGACGAAGAAGAAGAGCAAGTGTAACGACGAATAGAGCGAGCCGATAGACGGAGGAGCATCAAATGGTAAGTGCGGTTGCCGTTGAAAATGTTTTTGTTATCTCAGTGAGGCTAGGGTTTTGTCATCAGGGAGGAAAAAAAAATTAACCGGGAAAATCAACACAAACCGAGTTAAAATCATTTGTTTTCGGTTTGGTTCGGTCAATAGCCGAAAACCCATTAGATCATTTGGTTTTTGAGACTAATTTTTGCAAGTCATGTTTGAGTTTGTGAGTTTGATTGTATACACTAGTGAGAATAACTCATGTTTTCCTTTACTTTAACAAGATAAAGAATTTATACACCGAAAGTGATACTACTATACAAGACATTTCAATGTTCCAAAGTCAATTCGAGAGAGGGTCGAAGGAGAAGAGCCGTCTTTGTTCATCGGTGGGATTTCTCAGCAATCTGCAGAATATCAAAGTGGCTGCAACAACTGATAAAAGAGACAGAACCGCGAGAAAGCCAAAATGCGAAGCATCATTCGCGGCTATGGCTACTCCGAGCATCAGAGATTCAGCTAGACTAGCCACTGATATCTCTGTTGCACCGATGAGATTAGCTTTTGACGATGGGATTCCGGTTTGAAGAATCTGAGCTCCCACAACGCCATAAGACATGTGACCTAGCCTCGATAATACCTACATTTGTTCCCTTTTGGTCAAACAAATTCTGTTCTACTACAGTTCCTGAGAGAGAGAGAGAAGAAGAAGAAGAAGCGAGCTTACGATCATGGACAAGAAGAAGAAGAGTGGGCTTTTCTGGGATAGAGAAGAGCTCCAATACACTGCAACAGCGACACCAAGGAGTGAAGCTTGGAAAAACAATCCTACTGCACCCGCCTGCATCGTTTTTAAACGCAAACGTAATAACATTAACCAGCTTGAACGCAATACATGCTTAAAATTTAAGAGAATAAATGGCGGGGAAAATTTGACCTTTAGAATGCCGAATCGTTTGACCAAGTTTGCTGATAAGAAAGTGGCAGCGACTCCCATCACAGCACATAATGCACTGAAACCCCCAATAACTGATGGATTCACACCTGTTGAAAAGACAGATTAATGACGATTTCGGGTGAGTAATCTAGGGAAAAAAACTCCCTTTTCGGTGTAACTTTGATATGAATCGTTGAGAACTACGGTTAAAGAAGCATACATCGTTGTGTTAGAAATGCAGTCATCAAGCTGCCTGGGGTGAGGACGATGTTGAAGTAGAGAAGGACATATGCGAGGCTAGCGGGAAGAACTGGCTGCTGAATATATTCTTTCCACCCAAGCTTGATAGCTTCCATGCCAATATCAACTGATGAACAAAGCAATTGTTACTTGTGATGTATAATGCTCGGGTCGTATTATATGCTTATCCCAGTATTTTGGAGTAAAAGGTCTTCTTACCAATACTTTTATTATCAGAACGAGGTGCTTCGGTAGCACAGTTGCTCTGGGAGCATTTAGGACGGTCGAGAACTCCAGAGGAGAACTTGTTGGTCAACCATATAAGAGCTGTCTGAAAAAAAAAAAAAAAAACATATTTTGTTTATCAGAATTGCAAGACACTTTGCAGGGATTATCACACACCGAAAAAGCACGCAATAAGATTGAAAATGACTATTCGGCAACTGGAACTGCTTCTAGCATTTGAGCAATGGATTATTGACGCAGTAATGCGAGTATGATACAAAACAGCATCACTCCATTGTTGATGACAAGAGTTTATCTAGGGGGAAAAAAGCCTAACCAATAATTTATAGGGCATCAGTACTTACCATCGTTGGCAAAGATCCCATCATTAGAGTGGCAGCAAACTTTAGGCAGGTCACAGGGTCATATTTGGATAGGAGAATGCCAAATAACGTCGTCCCAGCTATCTATTTCAGATTACAATTTTGTCATTTGATGAAAAAGATGGTATTCAAAGGCCACAAAGCAGATAAAATCTATAGAGAAAATTACTATACCTCGCAAAGCAGATCAATCCTGTTGAGGACAGCATTTGCTTGTGCAAGAGCAATTGGTCTGTTTATGCCCGCCAACTACCAAATGATAAATTAAATTACTTGAATCGGTCTTTCTTCTGATGAAATAGGTATTCTAAGGCATCACAAAGAAAACATACCAATACAACCCAGTCACGTTCTATGGCGACTCCAGATGCTATTCCACATAGTGTGTCAATGGCCCCAGCGAATATCAATGCAAAAAACCAAGGCTGGAGAAGAATTGATGACCCCAATGTGGAAGGAACCGTGTACGCATGAATTATCATTCCTGCAGATAGCACTTGAGCGGCTGCCTGAAATGTAGATACGACAAAATGTTTTTATAACACTTAATTCCGATGACAGAAGTTGAAGGAAAGTAATCAAGAAGTCATTTGTGATTCTTGTATAAAATTGTACTATGCTGAATAACTCGTCTTAGTTATAAAAATATTACCTGAACGACATTCAAGGAGATATATGTAGGAACTCTCGGACTATGATCCATAAACTTTCCAACAACTGGACCTCCAATAATTATTGCCAATTTGGTGACAAATCCCATGACTGCCACAGGTAGTAAGCTCGGATGCAGCATCGCAATAGCAGACGGCCAAGCGAAATTCCAAAGTTGTTCAACCAAATTCCCGACCAAACAGCTTGCATATAACACTGGTAAAGTCAAGTAAATGTTATCATCTTGGTAATTGCCATATAAAAACATCATTCACGGTCTCTAATATGATAAACTAGTGAGAGCTCTAACCATATAATCCTTCAGGATGAGCAGGCGTGGCTGCAAGTACAGTCTGCTCCTCCTCAGACAATACCTAAGAAACAGAAGAAGATTGATTGGTCTTAAGCATTACTGTTGAAAATGTTGGAAATTTAAATTCTTGACCAACAAAGGGAAGATGGCATACGGGCAATGCTGTCAAAACGGTATCTACGTAAGTACACTCGGTGAGTAAGCTCAGTGATTCAGATACAGCGATATTGGTATCAAGATGAACAATTGGAATTGAATGATCCTCAGGTGGAGCTGGCAAGTCCTCGTGGATTTCATCATCAGTAGTGACGAACTCGTGACATACATCTGTGTTTATAATCGAACACCTTGTACTAAAACTGTTTAACCTATCACCAAGTAAAGGAACAATTTGCAATTTAGCACAAACCGTAATGAGAAAATCGAAAAATCGTTACAAAAGCATATAAGAAGAATTCGAATGCAAAAACCTGCGAGAACATGAGGCTGATGAGCTGAGACTTAGCCATCTGCAAGAAGGGAAGCGATGGCGAGCTATAGAAAAAGCCGCCGGCGACAGAAAACGGGTTCTTTCGACCGGGAAATGAAATAGGAAATCGAAAGACGGCGATTGCCTGACCAGAGCCATGGAAACAACCATCCCAGAAATTGACTCCCTTCTCTTTTTTTCAAGTAATCCAACTTTAAGGAGTCGTTGTTCGTTCTCTTCGGCTTCTCCAAACTCATGCAGCCTCCCAAACAAAACTCGAATTCACCTCTAATCCGCTTCAAAACTTCTCTGGGATTTTTTCCCCTAAAGGCCTAATCGCCACTGAATTTGGGAAAAAGAAAATCCAGAGAGAGTATTTTGTTTTGAACTTCAAAAAAAAAAAAAAAAAAACCTTATCTATGGTGGTTCATCGCGAAGCACACCGTTACGAGAAGCTCAAGTGGGCAAAAGAAAGGCAGAGAGAGTTTGTGTAAGGGAGATTAGGCCACGTAGATTTATTTATACCCAATAATACATAGACACGTGGCCAACCGAATCATCCACGAGTGTGGTTGGCGACCAAAAATAATAGAAGAGCGTTTTAGAGAAAAATAGCGATCAAAGATAACAGTCCTTCGTTGTCAAAAAAAAAAAAAAGATAACAGTCCTTCATGAGTACAAACACAGTTAATACACAGCAGTATTTAACAAGATTTCTTTAGAATAGGAGATAATTAAAAATGTAACAAAAGATTTATTAAAAAGGAGGAATATTAGAGATCCATCCATCTTGGTCAATGAAAGTAGAGGTTGAGAATCGTTGTTTACTGTAGAAAGACTGAAGTTTGGCAATCCATGGGACTCTTTTAGATATATCCGATCCAGCTCCTTTACACTCAACTTCTGCGTACGTGAAACTCATTCTAACAACAAAAAAAGAACGAATTTTAATATAAAGTTTTCACCATCACATATAGTAATGTGATTGATATATATATATATATAGATATGCTTACTCATGGCCAGCGTAGTGCCAAGGGTGCCAACCCTCAGGGATGACGACGGAAGCGAGATCGGTTTGGATGAAAACGACTCGGCTAAATGGACCATAGGCTCGTCCAAGATAGACATTGGTGGTCCCTGAGACACTGCCACGTAGGAACACGAACCCACTTGGGTCCGAAACACTCGTTCTTGCTTGAGCCGTTATGTACCCAAACGTCACTTCTGATGCTAATGCTCCCGCCGTTGCGTTTATATGACAATCCTGCCAAACATTTTATATATTATTAACTAAAATGTTAATATACACACACACGAAGAATCGATGGCGATGGAACGGATATAATATGTAGAACAAAACAGCGAAATATGTCGGCCAACCAAATATCACAGCAATATAAAGATTGTAATAGTCATTTAAAATGGTGTAATAACAGTATTATACTTGTTCATTCGATTGACAAAACATTATATTATACTAGCAAATTTTAAACTAATCTTTTCTATCATTTTGGATGACCAAGAATGTTATTCGTCTTAAGAAAAAAAAATTATAGTGGATAAAACAAACCTACATAATATTTCGTAATTTTATTTCCTACAACACAATAACTACAAATGCTTATGTACGCTAATATTTTCTGTCCAATGTTTGGATGTTTTCTCTATAAAAGGCGCCTTTTCCTATTCCTTTCTATCAACCAAAAAAGGTTTTCTGAAAAAGATTTTCCTAAAAAAGTGTGTCTTTGTGAGAATGTAACAATTCTAGTGTAAACAGTGATAAAGTTTGTTTATGCTACAGTATAACAAAAGTAGCAACCACACTTTCCCATTCAAAATCTGAAGTGCATAATCATATATATAGAGAGAGAAAGAGATTATGTAGACATATATACCTCGTATACAGATTGGCCACTGCCAAAAATGAAATCGATAGCACCTTCGATGTAACAGTCCTTGAAGTGATGTCTGCCTTGAACATCCCACAATGTGTCTTGTAAACCCAAGAAATCGCAGTTGTAAAACGCTGATTTATCGCCATAAACCGCAACCGCTACCGCTGGCTTTATCTGCCAACTCGGTTTACTTCGAAAACTCAAACGATTATACGTATTCTGCCACCAAACATATATTTATAAAAAATACATTATATATTAATGTATATTGTTACGTCAAAAAAAAAAACATAGTAGTATAGTCAAAAGATATAATGTGGTTGGGGTACGTAACCATGATTGTTAAGTTTCGGACGACAATGTGGGATGGATATGAAGTGAAAGTAGAGCTGACGTCAGTCGCTTCGTGAGCATCGTACGTGATGGTCGTGACTCTTTGTCCATCTCCTTCTACTATTATGCACGGTTTTCTCAACGGTATTGTCACCTTCTCTCTGCGTTATATCACAAAATAACATGTTATATTACTTTGCTATTAACTAATTACGATTCAACAAGTTTTTTAAACCAAAAACAATAAAGATTGAAAACCTAATTACTAAAAAAATCGAACGGATTGTGTGTAGCATCTATGTTTGAATTTGAGTTTTCTATAAAAACGGAAATCTAGACAAAAAAAATTTAGATAAGAGTATATATCTGTCTATGCAGAAGTGAGGAGAGACCGAAGATGAAGTGACATATTACTAGCTAGGTCATTATTTCTACACCAAAAACAGTTTTCTATCTTCTCGAAACAATCAAACTCGTGGTCGAGAACGCTGCGTTCTAAAGTTGGAAAGAAAAAAAAAAACAGCAGCGAGCTGGTCTTTTTACTTACACGTAGACACCTCGTTTTACTTTGATTTTGATCCACTGAGAATTCATGTCACCGACTGAATCAATGGCAGCTTGAACCGTACGGAATTTTCCTGAACCGGTTTTGTCGACGACGATTGTGCTTACGACTTTGTTGCCACAAGTTGAATCAGTTGCTGTCGACGATCCAACACAAGAACTCAGAAGCAAAGCTATGAAGATGAACAAAAAAGACATGTTTTGTTTGTTTTTATTTTTTTTGTTTTTGGTGAAAAGAAGTTAAGAAGACACAAAAGATGGAGAAGAATGAAAGTGTAATATAATTATGGTGAGGGTTGAATGATTTGTTGCTTTAAGTTGATAATGGTATTTTTCCTATTTAATGTAGAGTATATTATGAATCTAATCTTGCTCGTTATGGGAACCTAAAAAGATACTACTCTATATACTAAATTGATTGAACGTTTAAACTTCTTGAATTTACTGTGCCTAATTGAACTGCTGACTCTATTTTATCTTTATGAACTTTAACGTGATAAAACTGTTATGCCTGATGTAAATAAAACCTCGAATAAAAGTTTAAGCTAAAATATAAAGTTTAACACATGAGTTTCGACGCATTTGATTAATTAAATTGGTAAAACTTACATAAATTTCCATTTACTTCTATACTAGTAAATTTCCATTTTGTTAAAAAAAATTGAAATGAGAAACAAGTAAATTTACATTTTACAAAAATAGTACCCATCATTTAATTGTCATTCCAGACACAGGCAATTCCAGGATTTTAATAAAACAAAATAGTTAGACATTGTATAAAACTATAAGTTATAAAAAAAATATATAGGATTTTTTCCTTTTCTAAATGATAAAATATAACTAAATTAATTTTTTCTTTTAATTAGTGAATTTACTGTATTTAAAATCCACTACAAATTAATAAATTCTATTATGTGGAAAGATATGATTAAAAAAAAATTAGTTAATAGAACTCTCTTTCTTTTAGTGGAGATAAAATCAAGATTGAGTTCTATATTAGTTTTTTGTTTCCTTTTGTTTCTTAGGAAAGTTCATTTAATTGCTTATAACATAGTTAAACAAATCTATCATTTAATTGCTTACATAGCTAACCAAATTTAGATTTGAAATGTAAATTTTTATTTTATATACACGTACTATATAATGTAAAAAATCTATATGAAAATCATTTATAAAATCCAAATTATATTACACTCTTGAAAATTATATATCAACAAATAAAATTATAACTAATTAAATTTTAAAATATCCATTTACGTTTAAATTTATAAATATAATATAATGTATATAAACATGTTAAAATGTTGCAGATTTTTTTTGTTAGCCAGCTAATGGTTTATTGATTTTCAAAATCATAATCGCTGTTTACAAGAAGCTGAAAAAAAACTGAGATAACAATGAAATAGACACCATTGAAAGAAAAAAAAAAGCGTTTCAAGCTAAAGTATCTGCATCAACACTAGAAGAAGTTTTTTCTTAAAAAAAACTTAATTTGGAATCCATTGTAATGTCTCTGCATCAACACTGATGGCATAAATATTATGTCTAAGTTTTATGCTCGTGACGTTTCTGTTGATGATCTGGTTGATATTAAAATGTTGTGGATTCTGGTTTATGTTAAAAAAAAAAAAAAATACAACAATCAAACAAAAAAAGCATACATAATTACGTCCTATATGATACCACATACACTTAAAAACTTTGAAATCTTCATTCCAAAGTTTATATTCATATTCGTGCTTCTTCAACGACCACTTGACAATACAATTCCTTTTTTTTTCTACATTTCAAACTTAAGATGGTATATGCATAGATTCTGAATAGTTCCATCGACCCTTTGACGCATTTGCAGCTGTCTTAAAAAAAAACTTTGAAATATATGATTACATACTAATGCATAAGAAACTCATGTACACATCGAACGAAATTTACGAGTCATTTAATTGATTCCCCTTCATCATCAATGGATATACAACAAAACCCGAGTTTCATATACGATCTATGACAAAAAAAAATTTAAAACCCACCTTAACATAAAAATAAATATATATTAATTATTAACTTAATTTATCATATCAATTTGAATCTACTCACTCATTCACTTCCCTCCAACACCGAGAAACAAAGCATATGAGCGTCGAAATCCCAATACATACCAACCACCATGCCAGCCACAAGCCTCCTCCTCTTCACAAATTCTTCGATCCAAGATTCGCGCATAGCAAAAGTATTTTCATGCGGATACTTCCACAATGTAACACTGTGGAATGTGTTTGTATCGAGATCATTCACCGGTATTTGGAAAGAACCAATCATCACATTTGTGAGAGGCATGACATCTCGTGGTTGGTGTCTCAGCATAGCATTCCAGATTTGCTCAAGTGGAAATTGGAACTTGCCTCCGGTCCATACTTCATCGATTGACAGGGTTCTGATGATTTCCCAAGGGGAATGAGTTATGGGTCGGATCTCGATTTCTTGAGGACATAGTGGATGATTGAAATCTGTTGAATTGGCGTTGTCTTCTTCGTCTTTTGTCTGAAGGAAGGTGTAAAACAATGTTTTGATCATGTTTAAAGTAGTTAAGAAGATAAATTTTTACAAGTTTTATTGTTTCTTGTGCTTTAGTGGTGATGAAAGTTGGATGATTTGGATTGCTTCCGCTTAGGAGAACTCAAAGGTGATGTACATCTCAACTTCTCACTTAGTTCTAAGTTTTATAAACTATCCATGAGTAATTAAGGTAAATGACAGATGTTGTTCTATTAAGCTAAATCAATTGTTTGAAGAAACGTTGCTCATTTCTTATATAAATATGGTGAACCATCATCATTACTAAATTTTAAGTGTATATAGCTATATAGAGCAAAATCTTTTTTTTCTCTACCTTAATTTTTTTTTACTATCAACATCTTTTGTTATTTATGATCATATAAATAATTTATACTGTTTTTGGCAAACAATATGATTTAGACTTTTCTTTGGTTTCTTTTTCTAAAATATTCTTATAAAATTTGAAGGTTTATAGTTAAATTGTAGTCCAAAATTGGTCCTTCACTCCTACTTCATTTGTCCACTTTCTAGAAAACAATTTATGGCAAATGACTAAGCTTTTCTGATAAACCAATTAACAAAGATCAAGTTCAAACGTTATAACAATATCATCTGTATAACAGAATAAGATATAGCGATATGATATTTGTGCGATAAACGTGAATTTAAGCGGCCAGGACCATTAGATTAGTACCCAAGAGCCAAGAGCCCATTCTTTTTTATCACATTGTATCTTCATCCAAAATACTGTATATATATATATATTGCTGAAAGAATCGTATATTCTCGCGCTTAACATTTGCCTATTACAATTTCCAATAAGACAGAGACCATTACTATTTGTATCTTTGGCTTACATAGAAAATGAAAGCATATTAAAGAACAAATTTCCGGTTCGGAGGATTCGAACCTAAATTGCCCAACATAAAACATGATCAAAAAAGAAACCAAAAACTAAACAATTGATCGCGATTCGAGAGTGAGCATCACGCGCCTCCTTGAACACACACAATACATAAATTTCTCCGCCATTGCGTCATCACTAACATACGGTGGAAACAGAGCACAAAGAAATCCAAAACTTTCCGGCAATCAACACCGTTCACAAAAAAAGGAACAATCTTAGGGGAGATTAAGGTGAGATCAAAATCAGACGGTGCAGCCACAGAAGAGGAAGAAGAAACAGAGCATTGAGACCAACGCCACAGATTCAAAAGCCGTCACTACTTTCCATAAAACATCGTCGACCACGACGGACAAGAAACTCAGCTCCGGTCGACGCCAGCTCAGCCAGCGCCATCCCTCGTAACCACCGCCGGAAAACAACATCGGCTCAGATCCAGATGAACTGATATGGATCGGCCACCACCGGATTGCTGACGGCATTGGACCGAATCTTGATTCGACAAGCAGCCAAGTGAAGTGAGTTGTCTGTGTAGTTTCTAATGTTTATGTTAAGTGTCAAAGTTGTGGCTAATTGCGGAAAAAGGAAGCTTTTTTATGGCGGAAATGATGGGCAGAGAAACAGGGCGGAGATTAATCTAAAGTGGCGTTACATTTTTCATTTTTCGAGATGTGTGGCTGTGATTGGATATACATTGGAATCTATGGTTTTGAACCTTTTTTTTTAATTTCCGAAAAGAAAAGGAGATCAGTTCGCTCCATCATTGTGGCTAGTTGAAATGTGGGGAGTACTTAAAAAAGAATTTTTAAAACAAGTTTTATGTTTAACAAAAAAATACACATGTTAGGGGAACTAAACAATTTACAAAGATCATCCAAATATATTTTTGCTTTGTTTTATCTCTAAGAACATTTCTAATGAGAGTATTTTATTGGATATCTCGCCATTAGAGTATTGAAAAATAAAGTTTGAGAAAAGGTAAAAAAGTTGGATTTTATTTTAGAAATTTTGGAAAATCCATAAAATACTCTTGAAACACTTGAAGGTTTCTTTTTTTTAAAAAAAGAAAAAAATAATTTAAAAGACTACTATTAGTACTGTTGTCTAGGCCTTGACAAATTGTTGTCTGGGCTTTGACAAATTGTTGTCTGGGATCTGGAGCTCGAGAGGTTCGGTAACTCCGAACTGAAAACCGGACGTATAAAAATCCGAACCTAAGACCACACTCTCCTTTAGGGCATCATTATACCCCAAATGAGTTTCATAACAATATTTTATCACTAAACATAGATTAGGAAATATTCTTAAGAAACTTAATAGTTTTAATGGTGCATTGCTAAAATCGTATTGAGTTTCTTATAAAAAATTTTTTTTTGAATAAATATGTTTTATTTATGACAAATATAATTATTTGATAACAACATTCATAACATTAACACAATTGATAGAAAATTTTGATTATTAAATAAAACATATGATTATTAAAAAAAAACATAGGATAACTCAATTAATTGGATAACTTCCTCCAAAAGTTTGCCATATATGTTCAACCAAATCCAATTTCAATTGATGATGAATTTTACTATCCCGTACTCTTAGTCGAGCAGCCATCATATTAGGAACGTTTGATGGCATATTCGTAGAAAACGTATTATCGACACTACCACATTGGCTTCCTTCTCCTTGTTCGAAATCTGAAACATCAAGTAGATTGTATCTGTCTCTTTCGTCTTGTACTATCATATTGTGTAGTATGATGCAAGCTTTTAAAATCTTTCCGATTTTAGCCTTATCCCAAAAAAGAGCAGGATTTTTAACAATGGCAAATCGAGCTTGCAAAACCCCGAAAGCACGTTCCACATCTTTTCGGACAGACTCTTGACGTCGAGCAAAAGCACGTGCTTTTGCTCCTTGTGGAAGTGGAATTGATTGGATAAATGTTGCCCACTTTGGATAGATGCCATCTGTTAGATAGTATGCCAGATTATATTCTCTTCCGTTGACCGAGAAATTTACTTCCGGAGCTCGACCTTGTATGATATCATCAAAAACAGGTGAGCGATCAAGCACGTTTATATCGTTTAAGGTACCTGGAAGTCCAAAAAACGCATGCCATATCCACAGATCATATGATGCAACCGCCTCTAAAACAATTGTGGGTTTTCCTGAACCTCGTGAATATTGCCCTTTCCAAGCAGTAGGGCAATTCTTCTACTCCCAATGCATACAGTCGATGCTTCCTATCATTCCGGGAAATCCACGCTGCTCTCCCTTATTAAGTAAGCGTTGAAGATCTTCTTATGTGGGTCTTCTTAAGTACTCATCACCGAAGGAATTTATTATTCCATCAACAAAATGTTCCAGACATTTACGACTAGTACTCTCACCAAGTCGGAGATATTCGTCCACCGTGTCAGCTGCACTACCGTATGCCAAAAGACGACTAGCTGCTGTACACTTTTGAAGAGCGGAAAGACTAGACCTTTCGAGAGCATCTTTCTTCTGTTTAAAGTATGGAACTTCGTTGGAAAGTTTCTCCACAATATGCATGAACAAAGGTTTGTTCATCCTAAAACGGCGTCAGAAATAATTTGCAGGATATGTAGCATTCTCACTAAAAAAATCGTTCCATAATCGATTATGGCCTTCTTCGCGCTCTCTCTCGATGTAAGCTCGTTTTTTTCTTGACATGGGTGCCTCTTGATGATCTTCATACTGATTGCTCAGGTTTTCATAAGTTTGATCAAAAACGTTTTGGAAAGTTTGATTAAAAGAATCATAGAAATATTGATTAAAAGCATCATCAAGTGATCCTTCATTATTGTTATTGGATGATGAAGCCATAATAACAATAGAAATAGAAGAAGAAGAATAGAAGAAGAATAAGAATAGAAACAATTAAGCAAATAAGAAAAATATTTTGGAGAAGATGATATAGAGAACAACAATAAAAGAAGAAGACTAAAATATGTTTGTTTCCTCAAACTGTTTATTGCAATTATATAGACAAGCCTAGATAATTTTTTATATAATTTGTGGTGCTGGAATCCAACATGTGGTGTCAAATGACACAAAATAAAGAATAAAAAGACATGAACAACATGACAAAAAGCTTGTGACCGTTCTTTGTTTTCTTGTGCCCACCACCATTGCAATTATGTGCCGACCCAAACTCCTTTTGCTGTAAACCATTCCCTGAAATTAAAAGCCAATATGAACACGTAAAGGAAGCATGACCACACGTAAAATTATGCCCTTAAATTTAAAAATACTCAGAACTTTCAAATACATAAACAATCATTCTTAAACTTGTTAAAAAAACATAACCGATCATTCTTACACTTGTTAAAAAGTCTTAAAACAAATACTAAATTACACAACAACAAGTTCATAGGAAAAGCCATTATCAATACACAAGTAAAACAAACTTAAACAGAAATACATAAACTAACTTTTCGTTGTGCAGGGGAAGCTTCACCAGGGCTTGAAGGAACTGCTGTTGTGTCTTCGCCAAGGCTGAAGACACCATCGCCTTGACTGTTAAGTAACTGGACGAAGTTACCACTTTGCGAATATGGATGTGGTGAGTTGAAGTCCATTTTTGGTCGACGAAGTAAATGAGAAGAGAAGCAGAAATGAGAAGAAGGAAATGACAAGAAAAGCAGAAATGAGAATAAGGAAATGAGAAGACAAGTTGAAAGAAAGACTTGAAACAAAGACCTGAAAAGAAGAAGCAAAGTTGAAAAAAAGACTTGAAACAACAACTTGAAAAGAAGAAGCAAAGTTGAAGAAGCAAATAAGAAGGAGCAGACGAAGCAGCAAATGAGAAGCTGCAAGAAGTAAAAGCAGATGAAAAGCACCTGCTTTTATTACCGTGAAAGGGGAAAGAACATTCAAGCTCTCTCTAAACCACCGAGACATGACATCTAGCTAACCAACATTAACAATGCATTCAAGAGACAAGCCATTTATTATGCATTTACCAACATTCAAGTTCTCTCTAACCAAACAATTACCTAAGCCTAACTAAGCATTTATTACTAACCAAACAAATCACAACAACGATCAAACCTTAAAGTAAAACCAGAACAGATATGGTGTAACAGCTGTATCACCTTCTTCCCTCAGCAAGTGAATACCATGTGGTAAAGTCGTCATCTTCAAGACCAACATGTCGGAAAACGCTGTAGACCTGAAAAAAACTGCAGAGTTGCCAAACTAAGTCATATTTGTTCCAAATAAGAGCTGGTTAAGTGCTCTCAATGAAATTACCAATGAACTAACACATGAAAACGAATCTGTGACCAAAGATAGACAAGAATGATGGCCAAGTTCATATCCACAAGATTGATGGAGAACATATATGTGTATATCTGTTCAACTTCAAAGATCAAACCGAAATTTATACCAGAAGAAACACAGAAAGATACCAGAGAACTCCCAAATCAAACAAATCCTAGAGAATATTAAAACCCAAAACGATCAGGCGATCAAAAGAGAAAAATTGGTACCCGACGTTTCAAGGTGGTGGGATCATGCCTAGACCAGAACAAATCAAGGAGTGACTCATAGCTACAGTCTTTGCCAGACCATAAAAACATAGTCTTCGTCGTCTCTCTCATGCTCTCATTCGTCTCCTCTGCAAACACCATGGAATCATCACTCTCCAAATCTTCACCAAAATCAACGAAACTTCTTTCTGGTACACTCGTCTCCAAGTTCGAGTAGGTTCTATCTCTGATCGCCATCTGATTATTCGATTCCGGTAGACTCGTCTCCATGTTGTTGCTGATGGTTTGGGTTTTTACGAAAGTATTCATAGTTTGGACATCAGAGACGAAGAAGAGATCCAACATTTTACTGGAAATCAACTGAGCAATTTGGGTATTTATGAACCTAGACCAGAACAAATCCCGGTGCCGGAGCTTCGTCTTGGGGACCCTGTGCGATCGGAGAACATCGGATGTAATTTGGTGGAAAAGAGGATGCGTCGATGAAATTTGGTTCTTCGTCAACATCGGATGTATCGATGAAGGAGAGTGGTTTATTTGTTAAACCAATACTTTTATGTCACGTTGCAATAAGAAACACTCTTATTTGTTCTCAAATAAGGATTAAATTTTGCTCTTTACATTCATTTTTTTATTTTTTTATTTTTTTTAATTGCTTAAAAAACCAAATGAGTTACTGCGATATTGATGCTCTTAATCCTTTTGCTTTCCATGTTTCTTCTCGATTTGTCTCTTATGTCGACATTGTCCCTTAAACACAGCCTCCATCGCATAATCCAATCAATAAAGTTATTATAATAATATTCCAAACATTTTCCTATTTACAAGTTTGAACCACAATTTTGGGTACTATCTTCTCCCTTTGTTTTCTGTCGGATGAAATAATGAAACATTTTCAGCGCACTTAACAGTTAACAATCTTTATTATTCTTTGGTGGCAAACAACCTAAACATTAAAAAAACAAAATTATCCACATATATGAATATAAAACAATTAAAATTACGTGGAATGCTTTCACTAATTAATGCATTTTGTTGAATATGTTCACTATGCAAATGGTACCAAATAAATGGAGAAACGTGGATTTACATATTGCTCCCATTTTTTTTCCTTCGGTTCATTCCTAAGTGTTTATGAATAATTGTCTTTTGTATTATATTATTGTATATTACAACTTCATCGTACTGTTGGTCGGAATCATTTAAATAAAAACCGTAATTTTGGAATTTTAGTTTAAAAACTTGTTTTAAAAATTTTCAGGAAAAAAGAAAGAAAGAAAGAATAAGAACTTATAGATGATAAATCATATATTGTGTTGTCTACGTCATATCTTTCAAGCACTATGATCAAATATGACAAAGTTTGAAAGATACCTCAAGGCTCAAGTGTTTGACGGATCAGTTTTTTTTTTTCCAATTCATGGATTACATTTGGTCTTTTTGATATCTTGAAATCTTGAAGTCTTGAACAACATTGTCTGGTGTCATGGTTTTTAGTTAATTAACGATTCATTTAACCTAGAGTGATCCAACTAAATCAAGATTCAAGACCTATCCTTTACCTCCTACGTAAAAGCTTTTAGACATTTTAGCATACTGCTTGATAATAAAATGTAATAGTGCTAGTAGTCAAACAACTTAAACTATTTGGTCAATCTCAATTTTCCCACCATTATTATTTGATTCTTCACTTTTGAAATAATTTTTTTTTTATATATTTTTTAAAAAAAATATTTTTGGGAGAAAATTCTCCTATTTCGCTTTTCTTTCTCTCCGTGGGTCTGCAAAAGCCGAGCAATTCGGAGGGAAATCATTTGTTTATCAAAGTTCAAAATCCTTTACATTTTGTTCATAAAACAATAAATGTAATAACCCATAATTAGTGGAAAAACAATAATCAAGTTTTTTTAAACTAAAAATACTTATAATTTTATATTTCCAGATGTATCTGTCTCACTCACATCAAATAAGCCAAAATTCATTTATTCGAATTCATTGACTGCGTGTTAGCCCCCTTTACGTGTTTCTCTTTCTCTCTCTCCTCTGTCACGGAAGAAACTTAACATGAAAATTTGATCTTCTCGGACGATTTTTTTCCCGAGAAAATTTAACCCAGAGGACTACGCTTCTGTTGAACTCTCTTCCCTTTCTCAATTTCCACAGCAATTCGTAAAGTCGCCGTCTTTTTATCTCCTTTGCTGTTTTTTCTTCTTCTATATCCCTAATTGTCTGAAGATTTTTTTAAAACTATGATTCATTAAAAGTTCTTAAATGGTCAACTGTGTTTTCATAAGTTTGCTAATTATTTAAGATTTGTTCACATGCATGGAATATTTTTTTATTTTTGCTTGTTCTTCATTTCAGAGTTCTGAGATTTGATCTGGTGCTTGAAACAGATTCACAAATTTTATGAGAGATTCGAGAAAACCCTGATGTCAGATTCCGTCAGAACGACGGTGGATCCACTTCTGAGAGATTTGGATGAGAAGAAAGAGAGTTTCCGGCGGAACGTGGTGTCTATGGCGGCTGAGCTAAAGCAAGTGAGAGGCCGTTTGGTTTCTCAAGAACAATTCTTTGTTAAAGAAAGCCTTTGTAGAAAAGTAAAGTCCTTTTTTTATTCTCCGATTGATTCTTCCTTTTTGGTTGATGCTTTGGTGGGGTCAATTCAATTTTTGGGTTTCTGATTTTTATTTGTTTGTATCAGAGGAGAAATGATTTTTGTTTTTTGTTTCTTCTTGTCATTTGTTGTTTCCTTCAGGAAGCAGAGACAAAAGCTAAGAACATGGAAATGGAGATCTTTAAATTGCAGAAGAAATTGGAAGATAGAGATTGTCAGCTTGAAGCTTCAACTTCTGCTGCTGAAAAGGTTTAATTTTTACAGACCCTTTTGCTCTACAATATTAAGACTCCACATTTGATAATTATATCTGAAAAGTTTGGGGCTTTGAGAAATGTTGTTATATATATTGTACTGAAAAGTGTATGTGGTTTCAACTTTCTTAACTAATCATTAGACTTTGGTATCTATTAGATCATTGGCCCTTTAGGTCTTCAGTAAAAGTAGATGAAGCTGAGTGTGGAAAGTTTGACTGTGTTTAAATCTCGAGTATATAATAATAAATGTCTAGTGAAGCTTGACCTATTCAAAAAGATTTCTTTGAATGATTTTAGAATCTTAACTGGGTCAATGAAAAAAAGCTGATGTTTAGATAACAAGGGTCTCTAGTTTGGCCTGAAAAGTTATATTCTTGTGATGAAATGCACGAATTGGATCAGTTCGCATTTCTGAATGTAAAATCTGAGATGTGCAAATGGACAATAATACTGTTGTTAAAACGATGTTAAGTATCAATTACTATGCCAAAAAGTTCTTTCAATGCAACTCTAGAACCATTACTTTCTTGAGCACTCAATGCATTTATCACAACTCGGTGATCGATTGGTTTGCGTTGCTGTTTACCATTTTTTTTCTTCTGAATTTATTGACCGAGTTTGGATACTGTTGAACATAAGTTGGCTTTAGTCAGTTAATAACATAATCCAAGACTCCTTGAGGTAGTAGGGAATGCGTTATTCGTTCTAAGGATGTTATTCTTATGTGTGTTTAATCTTATTTTGGTAAAACAGTTTCTTGAAGAATTGGACGACCTGAGATTGCAGCTAGCTATAACAAAGGAAATTGCAGAAACAAGCGCTGCTTCTGCTGAATCCGCACAGCTTCAGTGCTCAAGGTTAACTGAGCAACTTGACGACAAAACACGTTCTCTAAGAGAACATGAAGACCGAGTGACTCAGCTCGGTCACCAGCTTGATGATCTGCAGAGAGATATAAGGACAAGAGAGTGTTCTCAGGAACAGCTGAGAGACGAATTCATGAGAATCGAACGTGAGATAACCGAAGCTGTTGCAAAGTCTGGGAAAGACACAGAATGTGAGCTCCGGAGACTTTTGGAAGAGGTTACTCCAAAGAACTTTGAGAGAATGAACAGGCTGTTGGGGGTAAAAGACGAGGAGATTGCAAAACTAAAAGATGAGATAAGGTTAATGTCAGCTCACTGGAAACTCAAAACTAAGGAACTTGAATCCCAGGTACAGGATCCATATCTCTGTCCTTATTCTTGTGTTCTGTTATTGTTGGATAGTTTCAATCTTTGACTGATAAATGACCATTTTTTCACCTTTGGAAAAAACCAGTTGGAGAAACAAAGAAGAACAGATCAAGAGTTGAAAAAGAAGGTACTGAAACTGGAGTTTTGTCTGCAAGAAGCTCGTAGCCAGACAAGAAAGCTACAGAGGGTAAAAATTCCAACATTTAGCTCTTGTTTATTTACAATGAGAAACAGAATGGTTTACTTTGATGTTTGATGAATGGAAACGCAGATGGGGGAGAGGCGAGACAAGGCGATAAAAGAGCTAAGAGATCAAATTACAGGAAAACAGTGGAATGAATCAGCGTCTGGGGAGAAACCAAACTTTTGGGATACTTCAGGATTCAAGATCGTCGTGTCTATGTCGATGTTGATATTAGTGATTGTCTCCAAAAGATGAGTCCTTATGTTTCTTTGATCTTGAACCATTATTTTTGCGTGTAAATGCCAGTAGTTGCAGATAGTGAGATAGAAGTAGATGATGTTGAATAATATTTACACTTTTGACTTTTGAGGTAAACAAAGAGAGATCTTACAGTTTTTATTTGCGTATTTGTCTAAAAAAAGATATGCCAACTTCCAATGGAAAAAAACAAAATATTTTTTCTCTCAAATGATACCACATTTTTTTCCCTTAGAATAATTCTAATTTTGGTATAAAAAAAAGTCTCGGCCATTGTATAGCCCTATTTCTCAGCCCAATTCTCAGCCCAATTCTCAGCCCAATAACGTAACCGCCATATGTTAATGTGTTTCGTATTTGCTAACTCATCATTTTTGGCAATCTGTTCAAAGTTTATTAAACTCAGGACTCTCTGCATCCATTTTCTATTTTCTGGGGAAATTGATTACGTTGTAAAAACCCTAATCCAGTATTGCTACAGAAATTTGTCGATTCTCGGGATTTTGAATTCATTGACGAGCTTCACTAGTAGCTTTTCGAAGATGGCGGCAAGAGATCAAGCAATCGCCATTAACGATGCTGTTCACAAGATTCAGCTGGCTATGCTCGACGGCATCACTGATCAGAAGCAGCTCTTCGCGGCGGGGACTTTGATGTCTCGATTAGACTACGAAGATGTCGTCACTGAACGCACTATCGCTAAGCTCTGCGGTTACCCTCTCTGCCGAGCATCACTCCCTTCCGATGTTTCTAGAAGGGGGAAATATCGGATATCGCTCAAGGAGCACAAGGTTTACGATCTACGAGAGACCAGAAAGTTTTGCTCGGCAGATTGTCTTATTAACAGCCGCGCGTTCTCGCGGACTTTGCAAGAGGCTCGTACCTCGGAGTTTGACACGGTGAAGCTCAATGGGATTCTGTGTTTGTTTGGTGATTCCAACGTGAATGATTCTTTGGATGTGAAAGAGGATTTAGGATTGTCTGAGCTTACGATTCGGGAGAGCACTGAAGTGAGAGGCGGAGAATCGTCTTTAGAGCAGTGGATGGGTCCTTCTAATGCCGTTGAAGGTTATGTTCCTTTCGATCGAAGTGCTAGCAAATCCAGAAATGGCAAACACGGTAAGTTTGATGATGACAACTATCCATTTGAGCAAATGTTTCAGTTTCCATAAGATAGAATTTGAACGGGAATTAAACTTCTTGGAAGAGAGAAGACGAACCTAACTGATGTTTATTAGTTCTAACTAGACGTGTTATCTGTATGATTTCTTTCCCAGGTTTCTATGTAGTTTGGTCTCTGTCTCTTGCTGCTTATAATATTAGCTTGGTTTTGGCAGATTTCAAGGCTACTCAAAAGAATCAAAAGAAGCACGAGGATCCGCCTTTGAGCGAGATGGATTTCACTAGCACAGTTATCATTTCTGATAAATATAGTGTTTCAAAAAAGCTTCCACCACAAAAACAAGCTTCTCCTGCAGGAGAATCTGAGGACGGCCAAGGGAAAACAATTCCGAAAGAACAAACTGCAGCTCCTCCCAGAAAAAAAATTTCGAGTAAGCACTAAGGAGCTGATAAGAGTAGTAGGACTTACGAGTTACGACCAAGATATCTCTAAGAAATGTAGCTGTATATGTTACTTATTCTTGCTTAAAGGTATTTAGCTGGTATCATGTTTGATTTTATTTATTCCTAGGGGAGCCTGAGATCTTGTGTTGGCTGTTAGCCCATTTTTGCTGATGTGTGAGGCAATAAATACCGTTGTCCATGCTCTCAGTTTATCTGGATGGTTTTGAATTCTACTGTGCATGTGCAGGGTTTCGTCTTGAAAAAGAAAGGGACAGGAAGAATTCTGGGTCTGAAGGGATCGATTTTGCAAGCTTTGGGTTTGATGGGATGGGTTGTGCGACCTCTGTTACAAATGATGATTACAGCGTTGAATATAGCGTGTCTAAGCAGCCACCGTGTTCAACAGAAGACCCTCTGGGTGGCCAATTGAAAGGTGATCTTCAGACTTTGGATGAGAAAAATGCTCTAACAGGATCCTCCTCTGGTTCTAATTCGAAGGGTTTGAGGACAAAACCAGAAAAATTGAGAAGGAAAGTTGTTGAATTCCATGCTGCTACTTGTACAGATGGTGACAAAATCGTTGCAGCTGAATCTTACGAGGGACTCAAAACCCATCAGGATGTGTGTTCTTCAAGTGAAACAGTGACTAAATCATGCCTTAAATTTTCTGGCTCTACGAAGCTTAATCGTTCAGTTACTTGGGCGGATCAGAATGATGGCCGTGGTGCTCTTTGTGAGGTTAGAAACAATGATATCAAAGCAGGTCTTAACCTGTCTTCTACTGATACAGAGGATGTCAATAGTGTATCACGCCTTGCGTTAGCAGAAGCCTGCGCAACGGCATTGACCCAGGCTGCCGAAGCTGTTTCTTCGGGAGATTTAGATGCAAGTGATGCCGGTAAGTCCATAGAAGGTGTTAATTATGCTATGGTACGCTTTATGTGTCCATACATTGTGGAGTGTAGACTTCCATAAGTTCCTGAATTTTGCACTTTGTCATGTATTATATATAGCTGCAAAAGCTGGAATCGTTTTGTTGCCAAGTACGCATCAACTAGATGAAGAGGTTTATGAGGAGGATGTCGAGGAGGAAATGGCTGAAGAGGAACCAACTCTTCTGAAGTGGCCAAATAAGCCCGGGATTCCAGATTCTGATGTGTTTGACCGTGATCAATCTTGGATTGATGGACCTCCAGAGGGCTTCAATCTAACCGTAAGTTTCTTGTAAGAATATATACAGACTCGCCCAATAGGAATTGGTGGAACTAATGTCACTGGTTCACTTCCTTCCTCAGTTATCAACTTTTGCTATTATGTGGGATTCACTGTTTGGCTGGGCATCATCGTCTTCTCTGGCATACATATATGGGAAGGATGAAGCAGCTCATGAGGAGTTTTTATCAGTTAACGGGAAGGAGTACCCCCGGAAGATTATCCTGGGAGAAGGGCTTTCCTCAGAGATCAAGGAGACAATTGCTGGGTGTCTTGCTAGAGCTTTACCTAAAGTTGCCACTGATCTCAGGCTTCCAATAGCGATATCCGAGTTGGAAAAAGGACTGGTAATGATGCTCTGAGCCTTTTTTATGATAAAATTTCATTGGATTACCAGTTATTGGTCTAACGAGGAAACTGCAGTTCTAGCTGAATTAGTGAGCTAATATTTCCATCTATCTTTGTCATACGTATTAAGTACCTTTAGAAAGAAAATTTTATTATATAAAGGACGGGATCATAATTGAAAATCCAAGCTCCTTACCAACTTCCACATGAGAATCTCATCTCAAACTTATGCATAGATGTGGTTGTGATATGTTGATGAGCAGGGAAGCTTGCTGGAGACAATGTCGTTGACAGGGGCAGTTCCGTCATTTAGGGTTGAACAATGGCGAGTGATTGTTCTTGTGTTCCTGGACGCGTTGTCTGTAACGCGTATTCCTCGGATTGCGCCTTATATATGCAACAGAAACAACAAGGTTAGTCATAGTTAAACTTGAAGATAATAAAGGTGAAATCAATCTGATAAGTTAATTTTGATATGTGGTTTGTGTTTGGTGAAAGGTTTTGGAAGGAAGTGGAATTGGAAATGAAGAGTATGAGACAATGAAGGATATTCTATTACCACTTGGCCGTATTCCTCAGTTTGCTATCCGAAGCGGGGCGTAGACAAAAACCTTTTGTTTAGGTTTTATTGGTAGAAAAAGAAAAGAACAACTGATGCCGATGTTATTATAAGAGAATATATGAAAAATCTGATGTCAGGCTTTGGCTTGCTTTTTGTTTTTACTTAGAACAAAGATTTGACGCATTTCAATTTTTTCCAATATGATGATATAATCCAATGGGTCAGGCTGAGACGCCGTGTTTGTTCCTTCTGTATATTTTTTTGCTTTCAATGAACTTTTCAAGCCGTGATTAATGAGTTGTAGTTGAATTGAAATTTCAAATTTTTCTGGACTCGGACTTGTCTTTAGTCTAAGATCTTTGATTATTGACGGTGCGTTCGTGAGTTTCTCTGTGCTATGCATGTGAGAATTATATTATGATGGACTAATTTTGTTTCGATTATTTACTTCTTTCTTTTGCATATATTTTCCATGGAAAATTTTGTTTCGATTTTCTAAGGTAGTAAAAAAGAACTTTTTTTTTTTTAAGAACTTGTAATTCAGTCCATTGTTTGTTGTTAAACCTTGTTTCACAATACATTCACATCTCGTCATCTCCCATTGTGTCTCTGGAAGAATTGTCTAAATATTTTATGTTCAACTTTATTTAATGTTTGTAGGGATAAAATCCAATAATTGGGTGAATTATTGGATTTTAGCTTACTAGATAGGGTCTCTCACCTTACAAAATAGGTCGTTGATTAGTTTGATTTTTCTTTTTTCTCTTTTCTTTTTCCTTTTCTTTTTTTCCCTCTCCGACACGTTTGACCCAACGGCCCATTTTCAGCTTGTGGTCTCCTTGGTATATTCTTGTACCCATATTCATTACACATGTAATTTACTCGGTCAGAAAATGATAATAATTGGACTTATATAAACTGCTATTGCATTGAGTGTTTTTCTGCTTAAAATTTCAAAGAAACATACGATGGTTCTTTTATTAGTCGCATTAAGATAATGGATTTTACGTGTATTTTCCACAATCCTTGTCTCTCTTTTGTTTTTTTTTTGTGAGTTGGGGAGTAAAAAGTTTGAATGGTCAAAAGAGTCAAAACTCAAAAAGAGGGAAAAAACTAAACCCAACGTAACTTTAAATAATCTTATTGCTAACCTCGAAGACTCCATTATTTGTTTTCATTCTACTGTCCAATGTTGTATCAGAGAGCCTATCAATATAACACTTTTAAATTAAAATAAATATAAAATGTCTCCAACGCATTATATAGCATACGCCTCACGAGAAGCCAGCTTTAGAGATTAGAGAGAAGAAACATAACAAAATAAAATAAAATAACTTCATAATTCGTCTCACCGAAAAAATAATAAAGTTGAGAGAAAGAGAGAGAGATTCATCATCAAACCCACAATCCCTCCCTTAATCGTACGGATCTCTTCCTATCTTAATTCTTCTATCTAAAGATCTTCTTCATCTTCCTCGATCTGGGACTTTTGGTTTTCATCGGTACGTTTAAAGATCTCTTTCTTCATTTTTTTGTTTTTCTCTTTTAATGCTGCTCATCTCAAATTCTGGGTCTCTGTTTCTTTTTGTAACTACCAAAATTTTAGGGGTCTAGCTCTAGATCTGCTTCTATGCAGTCTTATTCTTCATGAACTTTCTCCCCCCATTTTGATGGGCTGATTCCGGTGTATCTGCGTCTAGATCTTCTTACTTTGAATGCTATGGTCTTTTGAAAGTTGCAATTTTTATAGTAAACTTTTTATTCTTCTTTTGTTTTTTTCCTTCAAAACATTCCTATTAGGATTCTCTTCTTGTTGCTGTTATCTCTTGCATTTTTCTGGTATCTAGTGTTCTAAAATTGTCGTTAAAGCTTGTTTCTTTTTGCTTAATTCAAGTGTGCAAAAATAGTTTGCTTATCTGATCATTTGAGTATCTTTGTGTATGCTGTGTGAATTTTCCCAACTCTATTCAAAGTTTTAATTTTATGTGCTCTTTAAGCTTGAAAGAAGCTTTTTTTTTGTTCTCCGTTAAAAATGAATTTCGTCCAAGTGTTAATTTCGTTTTCTGCCATGAACTTATTAAACGACTGAGTTCTTTAGTAGATTGAACAAATTTCGACTCATCTCCATTTCCTCGGTTAGAACACTAATGTCAAAAATTGCTTCTTTGTTGTTTATTGCTGCAGGCTGCGTGTTTGATTCCGTCGAGAGCTTGAAGAGTGAGATACAGAAGGAAACTTTATTTTCTAGCCTGAAAATGGCATCCGTGGGCATAGCTCCTATCCCTGGGGCAAGAGACTCTACTGCGCAAGCTACTGGTGTTGATAAATTGCCTGAAGAAATGAATGACATGAAAATTCGAGACGATAAAGTAAGTTTTGATGCGTTCTATTATAAAGTTTCTGCTCATAATTTTGGTATGTTCATAGAAATCTAAATGGATTTTGATTGCTAGGAAATGGAAGCTACAGTGGTAGATGGCAATGGGACAGAGACTGGCCACATAATAGTGACTACTATCGGCGGAAGAAACGGCCAACCAAAACAGGTTTTTGCTTCTTTGCTTCAGCATAATTATGAAAAAACTGGTCTTCTTGATCTCTGAAGTTTTAGTTGAATCTTTACATTTTTTTCGTTTGATTTTGATTTTCTCAAAATGTGAATGCAGACGATCAGCTACATGGCCGAGCGAGTTGTTGGACACGGATCTTTTGGCGTTGTGTTCCAAGTGAGTTTTGTTCTTTTATCTCTCTCCCTTATGTAATAAATGATAATTATTCGATCAATTGGCTGAGTTTGGATTCCTTTTCTGTTTTTATATGATTCAGGCGAAATGTCTCGAGACAGGAGAAACTGTTGCAATAAAGAAAGTTCTACAAGATCGGAGGTACAAGAACCGTGAGCTACAAACCATGAGACTACTTGACCATCCGAATGTTGTGTCTCTGAAACATTGCTTCTTCTCAACCACTGAAAAAGACGAACTTTACCTCAATCTGGTTCTTGAATACGTCCCAGAGACAGTCCATCGTGTTATCAAACACTACAACAAACTCAACCAGCGAATGCCTCTCGTATACGTCAAACTTTACACTTATCAGGTATCATTTACTGCCTTTGTAATTGATTTTAGAGTTTCTGTAGATCACTTATCGGTTTCTTCTATGTTTGGCAGATTTTTAGGGCCTTATCTTACATTCACCGTTGTATTGGCGTGTGTCACCGTGACATAAAACCTCAAAACTTGTTGGTATGTAACTGAATTCATTGTTTGTCTCGCTATTCCAGAATTTCTTGTCTACTCTGTTTTGACACTTTTGCTAAATTGTTTTCCATCTATGATGAAACAGGTAAACCCACACACTCATCAAGTAAAACTTTGTGATTTTGGAAGTGCAAAAGTTTTGGTGCGTTCAATAAATCTCTTCTGTGTATATCTTTTATTATTCAGTCTTGTTGATCACTGTAGTAACTCCTGAAAACAGGTAAAAGGAGAACCAAACATCTCCTACATCTGCTCGAGGTATTACAGAGCACCAGAACTTATTTTTGGAGCAACCGAGTATACGACAGCCATTGATGTCTGGTCTGCGGGATGTGTTCTTGCTGAGCTCTTGCTTGGACAGGTAAAATGCAAGAAAAATCTAATTCAAACAATTCTGTTCTACACAAACTGGAATTCTGTGAATTGACAAAATCCAACATCCACTCATGGCAGCCATTGTTCCCTGGTGAGAGTGGTGTTGATCAACTTGTAGAGATTATCAAGGTATAAGCTTTGCACTTGTTCTCTTCAATAACAACTTCTTGTTTCCAATAATTTTGATATCAGATTTGATGTAAATGTTTTATGTTTTGCATTGTGTAGGTTTTGGGAACGCCTACTAGGGAAGAAATCAAGTGCATGAACCCTAATTACACTGAATTCAAATTTCCTCAGATTAAAGCTCATCCATGGCACAAGGTATAATTTGAACATTTACATTCATCAGATAAAACAACATGTTCACTGTTTTCAGTAGTAGTTACAGTCAGTTTGACATATCTTATCATTCACAGATTTTCCACAAACGCATGCCTCCGGAGGCTGTTGATTTGGTTTCAAGGCTTCTTCAATACTCTCCCAATCTACGATCTGCTGCTGTGAGTGTTACATTCTTCTGTGAAATCTTTTTTTTTTTTTTTTGTGTTATGGTCGTTGCATTTTCATTTATTATTTATCTGACGTTCATTTGCTTGAATTGTAAATATGGTGGTCATAGCTCGACACGTTGGTCCACCCATTCTTTGATGAGTTAAGAGATCCGAACGCGCGTCTGCCTAATGGACGTTTCCTTCCACCGCTTTTCAACTTCAAGCCTCACGGTACGCCATTTTCCTTTTCCTTTATCTTCTTTTAGCTCCAAAGTTATCTGTAAAAATTATTTCTTGTGGTTTTGGAAACTCTAGATATATAAAGGGTTGACTAACGTTGTCCTCTCATTGTTTGTGAAACAGAACTGAAAGGTGTGCCTGTGGAGATGGTTGGTAAGTTAGTACCTGAGCATGCGAGGAAGCAGTGTCCTTGGCTCGGTTTGTGATTTCCTCAAAAAAAACCCTAAAAATGTAGCACAAACACACCACTTCTATGAATTGCCTCTCTCTCTCTCTCTCTCTCTCTCTCTCTCTCTCTCTCTCTCTCTCACTGTATCCACAATATATACCCTTTGTTTGTTGTATGAGTAGAGCAAAAAAAAAGAGTTATTACTGTGGGTGGTTTATAATGTAATACCATCAAGTATGTTTAATCAAGAGACTGGTTACCTTGTGCGTTTTGAATCTTTCCTCAATCCCCAAATCATCATCGCCATTGCTGAACAATCCAAACCGAACTAAACCGGAAAACTATATATGTACGAGAAGAATCAAGAAGCCTTGCGCGTGCAAGTCACTTCCCAAACTTGGCTAAAAAGCTACACTTTTTATGCAAGTCGTCGTCGTCGTCGATCAACGGCGGTGATAAGATTAAGAGAAGATCATGCCGTCGGGAAAATATTACTGCGATTACTGCGAAAAGGAGTTTCAGGACACTCAAGTCGCTAGAAAACGCCATCTTCAGAGCAAACCTCATCTTCGAGCTAAGGCCCTTTGGTACAGCTCTTCTTCGGGTCTCTCTCTCTCTCTTTTCCCTCTCTCTGGTTTGCTTCATTTCTTATGAAACGATTTTTAACACTTTTTAAAACTCCTTAGATCTTAATCCACAAGTCTCCAATTTTGTGCCCAAGGGTGTATGCAATCGCTTCGTTACCTCGGTATGTCTCCAATCGATTTTGGATGGATATTTACACGATTTGTTCGTATTTGTTCGTCGATTCCTCTGTGTTTTTTCTCCCTCTGTTCATCTTCCTAGCAATTTCTGGATGTAAAGTCTTGCTTTTTTCGTTTATCTTACCCCAAGTTTACATTTTCCTTGTTTGTGGGTTTTGTACCAATTTGATTCTACCAAATACTTCATTGCGTGTATGTGTAATATCATCTTTGTATTCCTGTCTTTTCCGTTTAGATATGATCAAATCTAAACTCCATGTGGCTGTGTATTTTCTTAATGCGTTTTTGCAGAATTTTTGTCCATTCGGAGATTCTTGTAGATATATGCACCCCAGCAACATTCCAGGAGACACAGGTATGTCAAAACTTCAAAACCAGCTCTGTGATTTGGTCTCTTCTTAAAAACTCTAAAAGAAATCTCCATTATTACGCATTCTAGTTCATGTCTTGTGTTGCTTCCTCAAAAACTTCAGCCTTTGTTATACTAAACTCAAATGCAGGACTCACCAATAATACACAAACTCATGCTGGCTTGCCTAACCAACACATTGAAGGAGCTTTTCTAAATCGTATGCTTTCTTGTTTTTCTCAATCTTTAAGCATAATAACTAGTCAAACATATAGAAATCTGATGTTGTAAGTTTCAAAATTTGGTCCAAAAAAACAGGTGATTTCGTTAACGGGAGACAGGGAACAGGTTGGTTCGATCTTCCGCCATCTCTGAAACCGCCTCCTGAGCAAGGCTATCCACAGCTTCCCTCCATCGACTGGGGCTAGAACTACTACTCTTTCTATATTTTGCTCAGATTCAACTTTGATCTGTAAACAGAGGCGGACCCATGCCTAATAATACAGGGTCAAGTACATTTTTAATTTTCATGTTTAACATTTTGTAATATATCAAAACGTTAGTATGTTTCGTTGCATTGTATCCACTTAAATGCTATTCAAGTTGTTTTGGTTATTGGAGTTTGGATAAATCGCGAAACGAGATTTTCCTATTATAGTGATAGGGGGATAGGCCTAATAGGAGAAATCATGGAAGAATCTGTTTGAATTTAGAAGAGGAAGAACACTAAAATCTTCCCAATTTCCATGGTCGTCGATTATTTTGCTTTTTTGGACAAAGACAAGACTTGTTAACTTCAAAGCTATGCCAAGTCAGAGCTGAGTGTATTCGATTTGATGGGACCCACTATTCGGTAGGTTGGGTCAAAGGTTCAGAGTTCTAAGACGTTTAGGAACATGCACCTGAGATTGGGAATCATTCAATCTTAACAAGGACCAAAATTATCATCAAGTTTACTTAAAATTGATATGTCTTCAAATGTTTCATATATTTGCTATAAACGTTTCTCATATTTCCAGTTTTAAATGTTTTAGACAATCTGTTGAAAAAGTCTCCGGTTGAAACATTTGCTTTAAACGTTTTAAACATTTCCAGTTTTAAATGTTTCCAAATGTATTACATCATTATAACAATGTTGCCCATTTAGAGGTTTTGAGTGAGCCAAAAAAGGCATTTTTAGCTTTTGAGACGCACTAAGATTGAAGGAGAGCTCTCAACCAAAATGATTGTTTTATTCGATTCACTTATAAACGTAACAAATTAGGAATTTATGAAGACCATCGTGACATCCATCCACGAACCAACAACAGTGAATAGTGCCACTGTTACTTTATTACCGACCTTGTAACGTTTTAGGAGACATGTAAAAGGGAGATTTGAACAGGCTATTCGAGCAAAGGAAATAGAACAAAGCTTAGTTCTTCTCATACATCATTACCGTATAAGAAGTTTATAGCTGAGGAGAGACAGAAAGTGAGAGAGAGACAGAGACAACTTCACTTCTTCCAATCTCATGAAAGCTTCATGGTACCTAAACCATGATAACTTTCAGGATGATTCATTCGCCCAAAAAGCTTGTTGCCCTGGTGAACATTATAATACATTAGTATTACACAATTTACACTTAGTCATGTTGCTTTAGAGGCAAGTGTTCTAAAAAATGGGACAATATGGGACATTATATTCCAACGATGATAGCTGAGAAATTAGAATGATCAGGTTTACTGTAAAGAAAAGACTATTCAACTAACAAAATAATTTACCTTAATCAACCAGATAGAGACGTGCATCTGAATCCTTCTCTCACAAGTTCATTAACTGCGTCCCTGAGCCTATGATAATCCTCAGGTTTATTGTAAACTTGAAACGAAATGCGCACATATCCAGCGATCGCATCAATCTCTCCTTCCCCAGGTGGTCTAAAGTAGATCGGAGTCTCAACTCTGAACCTTTCTCTCAAAAGGGTTCTAAGCTTCAAAGCATCTGAATCACTCGACACTCCTAAGCACACAGGCAATCCAACCATGACCATACTCGCGCACATCTCAGGAGGACAACCAAGCTGAGTCCCCCATGACTTAACCAGCATTTGACCCATCTCAACCACAGACTCATGATTCCTCTTCTTGATCCCATCAATCCCACCTTCAAACCGGTTCACAAACTCCAAGATCGAAGGCACAACCAACTGAGCACTATAATCTCTAGTCCCAACCCAAGAGCTCTCAATGGCCAAACCATTCCCATACTCATTCGACACAACGGGATGATGCAAATCAGCAGCACAACCATTCTTCGATTTCCTACAATACAAGAAAGCAACAGAAGGCGGCGCGAAAAACCACTTGTGAAGATTGCTCGTGTAGAAATCAGCACCAATCTCCTTCATGTCAACATCAACACAGCCAATCCCATGAGCAGCATCAACAAACACCTGGTCAACACCTTCTTCTCTGCATATTTTCACAAGCTCTTTGATTGGAATCACAACGCTCGGCATAGAAGTCACGTGATCGATCAAAGCTAACCTAACCCTCCTACCATTCGCCTTCCCTGACTCTAAAGCTTTCCTAAACCGGCCGACGATTTCGTCAGCCGAGATAACCGGGAATGGTAACAGTACCTCGATGACCTGACCTCCGGAGCGTGTGACGTACGCTTCGACTGATTTCTTAACGGAGCCATACGCGTAGTGAAGCATAACCACCGCGTCGCCTTTCTCGAACCGTCCTTCGCGGAAGGCCCAGGCGGTTTGCTGGAGAACAATCGCGGCTGCTGTGGTTGCGTTATCGACGATTGAGACCTCGTCTTCGTGTTCGGCGTTGATGAGTCGCTTGATTACGGCTCTGGATTCGGAGATTTTGGGCTTGAGTTCGTCGAAATAGAATCGATCCGGCTGGCGGAGGAATCGGAGCTGCCAATCTCGCTGGAGAGCGAGGATTGAGGAAGGACAGCAACCGAAGCTGCCGTTGTTAACACGCGCGAAGTCCGGATCGTGATGAGAAAACTCTGATTCGATCTCAGAGGGAGAAATGAAATTCGACGATTGTTGTGGAGGGGAGATTTTGGGGCGTTTGGAGAAATCGGAAACAGATTCGACGCCGTTGGAGGAGGAATATCTTTTAGTGTGACGGTGGAGATAAGAAGCGGCAGCCTCTTCCGGCGGAGACAGAGACGCCATGGATTTTGACGAAAGAGAGCTTTCGAGTAATCAAAAATAAAAGATGAAGAAATGGCTGCTTTCATTAAATTTTTTTTAAAGAGGATAAAGACAAGTGGTGAAAGTGCGGTGCCACAACGACATGGGAAAATGGGCAAAAAAAAAAAAAAAGCATTTTGTTGTGTAGCCACCCAAATATCACGTGACTGGCACGTGACAAGGAAGATATCACCTACCAAAGAAACTTCACTCACGTGTTAAATGGTCTTAAAAGAGCAAGTTTAGAAGAACATCTTCCATTAATGTGGTGGTAAAGAGACAAAGATGAACTAAAATTACTTTTTAACGGTCAGATTCTATATATAGCCAAAAGAATCTATATGATTAACAAACAAATTGAAGACAGTGTTGTTGCCCATAAATGGTATGTGTTCTGTTTTAGTTTGTGAATGGAAGAAACATAAAGTACAATATTCCTGATCATGATGTAAGACCTTAATCTTCGTCACTATCGTTGCCAAAAACCGATGCAATCGCTACTTTAGGCTTCTTGATACTGCTCGTAGGTTGGCTCTACAAAGATATCGAAGAAGATAGTTTCAGTGATCAGTGGACTAACCGGTCCTAGCCCGTAAATGGAGAGCGTGACAAGGTAGAGTATATAAAGCTCATAGATACCTTTGATGTACTGCCGCTTTTTGAAGAAAAGCCAAACTTCAATGTTTTCCTTTGATCTTGAACAGCAAGTGGTTGCGCAACCGTGGTCTTAGCTAGTGATGAAAGTTGGACATTCTCTAAGTCTTCTTGCTGATTCTGTTGCAACTGCTGTTGTTTACGAGCATCAGCCCTAAGAAGTCAAAATAATCAAACTGGGGTTAAGTCTTAAACGCGTATACAATCTTTGTAAAAGGAACAGAAGCTAAAAGAAGAGTCGTAGCACATTTTAGTCATCTCCCTCTCTTGACGCTGCAGCTCTCGCTTCTTCCTATCATCGCGGCTGCTAGTACCGTGCATTTCTTTCATTTCTTTGAATCTCTGCGTAATGCCGACAAATTGGTGTCTTAGTGATGGAATAGCTATTAAAAAAAGAAACAAGAAACAAGGGATTTAAAGAGTATTTGTTCACCTTCTTGTGGTTGTGATCGTATGAGCTCAAGTGACCTTCAAACTCCATCACCGTTCTATACTGTTTGCTGCAGAGTTCACAATAGAAGACTTTACGTATCTCTTTTACATCGCTCTGGATCTTCTGCTCACGTTCTGCTAGGACCTGGATTGTCATAATTGGCACGAAGCGGGCAGTAGAAAGCCACCAACCAGGTAATAAAAAAACTGCACACTTTTTTTCTTTCCCCTTTACGACATTACAAGTCCCATCTGCTCTTTTGTGTATCGAGTTTTCAGAAAGCTAAAGGCATCGTTTCCGAGTATGTTTTGAGCGCATACCTCCCGTTTCTTTGCGATTTCCTCTGTCTCCTCGATCTCAATATCAAGTTTCTTCCGCTGGATGTTTTCCTCTGCAGTGAAATAATCATCTTCTTCTTGTTTTCCTAAACCGAGTCTTCGATCCCTGATACCGGATTTGATGGGCTCCGTTATGCCTAAGTAGTAAAATAAACAAAAAAAAACAACACAAATGATCAACGTTGAGGAAGTTCTATAAAACACTCTATAATAACCAGTTGTATCCTGGATTCAAGCCAACACAGACCTTGCTCTTGCTTTCCGAGACCTTTTCCTTTCCAACCCATTTTCTGAAGAAGACGAAACCCAACATTTGATGATGATATCATTGTGTCCAGTGATGCTTGCTCCACATCCTCCCTGTGTGTGATTGGCAATCGAAACTCTTCTGCCAGCTCCTCAATGAAAGACTCTTGATTCATCTATACGAGCTCAAGGCAACAATGTTTATAAGCAAAGACCAAAACACAAAGACTTCAGTTAAAAGAAACCAGTGTTGGATTTGTGAATTGACCTGATCCTTCTCATAAATCCGTTTCTCTCTGCTACTTGCTTCCGTCTTACTTTCACGCCTCCTAATATCCATTCCGCTATTCGACTCTAAACTCAATTTACTGTATTAAGGCCCACGAAATTAGGGTTTCTGTGTTATTACAATCAAATCGATGCTAACTAGATACGATTGAATCCCTAAATAGTTTAGGTGAAGGTTCTATAAGATCGAGAATTAGGGTTTCTCAATCTATGTGCTTTAAGATCGGAACAAGAAAAGAGGGGAAAATTACGTCTAGACACGAAGCAGGGAGGTGAAAGCACTATTTGATCAAAGGGGAAAATTGAAGAAGCTTACCTGAGAGAGAGAGAAGCGGGGAAGAGCGAGGAAGAAGAAGAACAATGGACGCTTAAGTTTTTTTTTTTGGTTTTAATAGGCCCGGAACTTCTGAGGATTGGGCCCAAAACAAACCAGTTTGAAAAAAAAATTGAACATGATAATGAAAAAAAAAAAAAATCTATCATCGTTAGTTCATTACATTACGAAATTTTTCGAACAACTAAATAACAAAAAAATAAAAATTATAGGGGTGTCAACAAAAAAGACAATAAAAGCCGTACAAGTAATGAAAAGGGTAAAAAAAGGAAAGGTTTCTGGCACAAGTTAAGGATTACCCATTCTGTTTCCTATAATATAGTTGCATTTTTTTTTTTTTGCTAAAGTATAAACTGCAATTTCTTCTGATGTTTATTATAAAAATATTAAAAGGTTGAAATTTTCATTAGTTCATAGGCTTAGGCATGATAAAAAGATGAGTGACTTACTGACTTTTATAATGGCTCATAATGGTGGTAGTGAGCTTAATGGATAACTCTTACTTTCAAACATATACTATCTTTAGAGTATGCCAAAAAAGGTAAAAACTATAG